GTATGAATGGACGGACGGACGGCACGACGGACGGAAGCCGTGACGGACGGAGGACGGGACGGAGACGTGACGGACGTGGACAGACGGACGGACGGATGGACAGATCGGACGGCACGGACAGCGTTTAGATTGATGGTTATGGGTATGGATGTTTGATAGATGGATGGCATGGATTGATATGGACGGACGGACGGACGGGACGGACGGAGGACGGACGGGGACGGAACGGACGACGGACGGTATCGGTACGGACGACGGCGGGACGGACGGACGGACGGACGGACGGACGGACGGACGGACGGACGGACGCGGACGGAAGGACGGTGACGGCGGACGGACGGGGATGGATGGATGGATGGATGAATGGACGGGATGGATGGACGGGATGGATGTGATGGATGGAATGGATGGTATGTATGATGGATGGATGGATGGATGGTATGGATGGCTATGGTTCATGATGGATGGTATGGATGGATGGTATGGTATGGGTTTATGTGATAGATGGCCATTGGATGAATGGATGGATGGATGGATGGATGGATGGATGGATAGATGAGTGTATGTAAAATTTACAGCAGAGGAACAATTGGATAAAAACATTCTTCGCTAGAGGATCCCAAGCTATAGTGAAATGAGCTGCAGTGCATCGAATGAGAGAAATCAGACTATGTGGAATTGGTTTTAGAAGCACAGCAATGAGCAGTGTTTGGCCCATGTCTCTTTCTCTCTTTTCCTTACTCTTTACACTTTTATTACACCTTTTTTACTTTGATTACTTTTTTATTACACTTTACACAGTCCCTCAGGTCCATACCGGAACATCCCGCTTTTTCCCATTTTGAGCAAATTGGATGTAAAGTTTTACGACATTTTTGACATTTTTTACGACCTTCAAGTGGCAAAATGGACCAACCCACAATCAAAAATGTTACAAGTTTCAAACTTACCCTCATCATCTGTAGAATCTGTGTCACTGTCACTGTCAGTGTCTGTTGACTCTTCTTCATTCCCAGTAACATCTTGATGGTAATCTGGGTCATTCAAAGCATCAGAGTCACTGTTTTCTGCAATTAATTCTCGCAATTCTGCATCTGAGAAATATCTAGCCGCCATTTTGTTGGGATAGTCCACTTTATTTGCATCTTATGGTTTTTATTCGCCAGTGAGAAGCCCAGTGGAATATTACTAATACTAGTGAGACATGAGACCCTACGGTTTAGTCCATTCTTCCACAAAATTATACTACAATTACGCCACCTATCAAATAATAAAATCGAAAAGTGAAAAAAGCGGGATGTTCCACTATGTACCTGAGGGGCTCATTAATTTTAACAGTAGATTACTTTCGGACGATACTTTGATGTACCCAACTTTCAGCAGCTAATGCTGGATCAAATTCAACTTCAAATTCAAATTCAAATAATGTTTATTGCACGGATAATCGCAGATCATACAGGCAAATACTGAAATAGGCTACAAACTACAATAAAACAAGTTCCTAGGCTAATAGTAATAAAAACGAGAGAAACGATGTGTCTTATACTACTTAAACTTTGACATGACTGCATGACACATGTTACATCATAATACATGATAATATATTTTTGTATTTAACATAATTTAATGTTCATTTCTAACCAAAAACAACAACAATTCAAACTAGTATAATCATGTGAGTAGACTCCATAGAGTTGTATTAATATACAACTAATTTATAACTAGAGTATATTTATATACTAGAGTTGTATTAATATATAACTAAGGGGTCTAATATATAACTCTATGGTAGACTCAGAGCTCTGGTAGACTATCGCGGTAAGTATCGCGTGGTATCGGTTGCCGCAGATAGTAACGTTTGGTATCGGAAACTGCAGGCGCCCTGAGTTCAGATGTAGGACTAGTAAAGCCCGACTGTTGGTCTAAACCTATCTGTATTTAGCTTGGGATATGTAGTGTGATTTAATTTATTATTTGTATATCTCACCATTTATGTTTTGGGTGGATCTTGTCGTAGCTTGAATGAATCTTCGGTAAACTTTGAGAGTTCGAGGAGATCGGCCACATGATTTGTAATGAATAACCATTTTATGGATGATTTGCCTAGGAATGTAAAGTGTATAAATTGGTCTTCTATCTTTTTTCTGATGTGGTTGGTGGCAGTGCAGTCATAGAGTAGGTGGAGTTCATCATCTATTGACCCGTTATTGCATAGGGAACAGAATTTAAGATTAGCAGGGATGGATTGGTGACGGCCTTGTTCAATTCTTAGGTTGTGATCGCTAAGCCGTAGTTTAGTTAATGCTCTTCTTGCTTGTTTGGAATATAAATTTAATAGGTATGGTTCAGGTTCATATTTTGTTTTAAGTTGTCTATAAAATCTTAGTTTGTTTGACCCTTCTTTATCGATCACTAAAACTAGAGTTGGACAAGAATGGAGACTAGGTACAGAGTATGAGATGTAACATCATTTCTCTAATAAAAAATAAGAAGCCATTCATCTTCAATTACAAATTGTACGGACACGCGTCGTACTATGTTACGCCTTTAAACTACCTAGCCGTAACAACCATGACTAAAGTTGAAGACCAACGCACATAACACCTGTCATAAGACAAACTCTACTGCTGGGTTTCTGTGCTGCAACATTCTCAATTATCGACGCTCGACAATGAAAGATAATAGGCCTATATAAGAAATACGTATTTAAGGTCTCTGGTCAGATCAACCGTGGAATATGTCTCTGCAACATGGGACGCGTACATTAATAATTAAAACATTTATAGGCCGAGTATGGTTCAAGGAATCATCCTTCAAGATGGGTCATTTACTACATTCTCAGCAGGCAACACAGCACCTGGATATCACCAAGTATATATGCCGATAATAGGCCTATTTGTGTAGACCTCTTTAGCAAGTCTTCTTTTTTCCACAGGAGTCGAGGTAGTTTTTAATGTCGTACAAGTTCACGTACGGCGACAATACGGTCGTGGAAAACGCCTTGTCTCCGCCGATGAGAAATACAATAAGCACACACAGCTGAACATGTAGCCTACATTCTAGTTTCCATTTTGCGAAACAACAAGACGAATTGTACTAGAGAAGAGAAGAAGAAGAAGAAGAAGAAGAAGAAGAAGAAGAAGAAGAAGAAGAAGAAGAAGATGTGACATCTCTTCTTTATGTGTTGTTGTTGTTGTTGTTGTTGTTGTTGTTGCTCGTCCTCTCGTCTTCCTCTCTTTTCTTCTTCGTCATCTTCTTCCGCTTTTTCTTTTTTCGTTTTCCTTCTCTTCATCCCCTCCTCCTTCCTCTTCATCCCCCTCCTCCTCTTCTCCACCCTCCTCCTCCTCTCCCTCCTCCTCCTCCTCCTCCTCCTCCTCCTGCCTCCTCCTCCTCCCCTCCTACTTTTTCTCTCCTTCTTTTAGTCGTCTCATTCTTTTTTCTTATTCTTCTTGTTTTCTTCTTCTTCTCTTTCTCTTCCTTCTTTCTTCTTCTTCTTCTTCTTCTCCTTCTCCTTCTCCTTCTCCTTCTCCTTCTCCTTCTCCTTCTCCTTCTCCTTCTCCTTCTTCTCTTTCTTTCTTTTTCTTTTCTTTTTTCTTTTTCTTTTCTTTTTCTTTTTCTTTTTCTTTTTCGTTTTCTCGTCTTCGTCTCCGTCTTCGTCTCGTCTTCGTCTTCGTCTTCGTCTTCGTCTTCGTCTTCGTCTTCGTCTTCGTCTTCCCGTCTTCGTCTTCGTCTTCGTCTTCGTCTTCGTCTTCGTCTTCGTCTTGCGTCTTCGTTCTCGTCTTCGTCTTCGTCTTCGTCTTCGTCTTCGTCTTCGTCTTCGTCTTCGTCTTCGTCTTCGTCTTCGTCTTCGTCTTCGTCTTCGTCTTCGTCTTCGTCTTCGTCTTCGTACGCTTCGTCTTCGTCTTCGTCTTCGTCTTCGTCTTCGTCTTCGTCTTCGTCTTCGTCTTCGTCTCGTCTTCGTCTCGTTAGCTGTCTTCGTCTTCGTCTCGTCTTCGTCTCTCTTCGTCTCGTTCGTCTTCGTCTTCGTAGCTTCGTCTTCGTCTCGTCTCTTCTTCTTCTTTCTT